TACAAAGTAAAACACAATGAGATATCGTGTCACATCTATCATAATGGCTAAAATTAAAAAATAAGGACAATGCCCATATTAATCAAAGTTCTCCAGAGAAACAGAACAGAAATGTTCTTATATATTCCTAGAGGTATATAAGAGGAGGTTTATTAGGAAGAGTTGGCCAAGAAGTCTCAGAATCTACCATCTGCAAGCTGGAGACCCAGGAGAGCCAGCGGGGTAATTCAGTCCAAACCTGAAGGCCTGACAATCAGAGGAGCCCATGCTGCATATCTAAATCCCAGTCTGAGAGCAGGACAAGATGATGTGAGATGTCCCAGCTCTGGCAGTGAGATGGGGGGAAAAAAAAAGGCAAATGCCTTCTTCTTCCACCTTTTTGTTCTAAGCAGATCCTCAGCTGAATGACACTAATATGGCTTGGCTGTGTCCCCACCCAAATCTCACCTTGAATCGTAATAACACCCATGTGTCAAGGACAGGGCCAGGTGAAGATAATTGAATCATGGGGGTGGTTCCCCCATGCTGTTCTCATGGTAGTCAGTAAGTCTCATGAGTTCTGATGATTTTGCAAATGAGAGTTCCCCTGCACACACTTTCCTGCCTGCCGCCTTGTAAGATGAAACTTTGCTTCTCTTTTGCTTTCTTCCATGGTTGTGAAGCCTCTGCAGTCATGTGGAACTGTGAGTCCATTAAACCTCTTTCCTTTATAAATTACCCAGTCTCAAGTATGTCTTTATTAGCAGCATGAGAACAGACTAATACAGATGCTCACCCATCTTGGGGAGGCCAATTTACTGTGCTGAGTCTGCTGATTCAAATGCTTACCTTATTCAGAAGCACCTGCAGGGACACACCCATAAATAATGCTTTATCTGGGCACCCGAGAGAAATTGATTCATAAAATTAACTATCACAACACCAAATACTGGCAAGAATATGGAAAAACCACTCCTACGTTGCTGGTAGAAATGTAAAATGTTACAGCCACTGTGAAAAACAGTTTGGCACTTTCTTTGAAATGAAAACTGTAACTACCATATGATCCTGGGCCTTTATCCCAGAGAAGTGAAGACATGTTTATACAAAAAGCCATACACCATGTGTGTAGCAGCTTTATTCACAAAAGCCAAAAGCTAGAAACAACGAGAATGTCCTTGGACAGGTGAATAAACAAACTATGATAATGATACATCATAACATAGAATAACACCCAGCAATGAAAAGGAACAAACTATTATCGATGCAGGTAGCAATGTGGATGGACCTCCCGGAAACTATGCTTTGTGAAAACTGCTAATTTCAGAAGAGTATAAACTGTATGGTTTTCTTTTTTTTTGAGATAGAGTTATGCTCTTGTTGCCCAAGCTGGAGTGCAATGGCTCAATCTCAGCTCACTGCAACCTCCACCTCCTGGTTTCAAGCGATTCTCCTGCCTCAGCCGGCCAAGTAGCTCAGAGGCACCTGCCACCACACCAGGCTAATTTTTTGTATTTTTAGTAGAGATAGGATTTTACCATGTTGGCCAGGCTGGTTTTGAACTCCTGACCTTAGATGATCCATCCACCTCAGCCTCCCAAAGTGCTGGGATTACAGGTGTGAGCCACTGTGCCTGGCCTACTATATGATTCTTTCATAACATTCCTACGATTACAAAATTATAGAAAGGGAGGGCAGGTGAGTGGTTGCCCCTGGTTAAAGAGTGGATGGGGCAGGGAGGAAGTAGGTCTCGTAAAAGAGCAAAGTGAGGGATGCTTGTGGTAATGGAAATGTTCTGTATCTTCATATCGATGTCAACAGCTTTGGGCTGTTGTACTCTAATATTGCAAGATGTTACCATTAAGAGAAACTGGGTAAAGGGTACATAGATCTCTGTATTATTTCCTACAGCTGCATATGAACCTATAACCATCTCAAAATAAAATCTTTAAGAAAAGAACCATGAAATGATTTCAGCAAAAGATTTGCGAGATCTTTATATAGAAATATCAAAGAAAAGTTAAGCATATAATGAGATGTGCCATGTTCTTGAAGAGAAATATTTGTTATGCGTAAGATGTCAATTATCCCCAAAAAGAGTTAATAGAATTGTGTTCAAGTCCAGGTTATTTGGGGGAGCTGACAAGGTCACCCTAAAATGTATCCAGAGAGCAAAGAACCAAAGATATTAAGGAAACTCTTTAAAAAGAACACAGTGAGGAAACTTGCTCTCTCATACATGAATTAGCATGAAACTGAGTATCTAGATCAGAATAGCCTTAGTGTTAGGCAGATGAACAATGGAACAGAACAACCTAGAAACAGACTCGTGCCTAGATGGATGCCTGACAAATCTTGTGTTGCATATCAATGGGAAAGAGCTGATCTAGTCAATACGGGCTGGGATAATTGAATGTTAATATGAGAAAAATAAAAATGCTTCCTTACCCCCACCTCACACACAAAATATCAGTTATACAAAACTAAACTGTGAAAAAACGTATTTAAATGTTTACTAAAATACTACAGGAGAATATCTTTATGGTCTCAAGCTGGGAAAGGATTTACTAAACAAGTGCTAACTATAAAAGAAAATATTAATAAATTTTGACCAAATTAAAATTATTTACTTCTGTTCATGAAAATATATAATAGAGTAAAAAGAAATGTAAACATGAAAGATGATATTTAAAAACCTATAACTGGCAAGACGAGTGTCTAAAACATATACTTTTACAGAATCAATTTAAAAATCAAGCAAATTTTTGAAAGAAGCACAAGAAGACCTGGTGAAAGGCATTTCTCATCAAAGGAAATGAAACTGGTCAATAGATGTAAACAAGATGCTTAGTATCATTAGTAATCAGGGAAATGAGGATCAAATCCGAACGAAACACTACTTCATCTTCATCACATCATACTTGCAAAACTTAAAAAAATTCCTAACAGTACAAAGCGTTGGTGAATTGTGGAGCACTAGGAACCCATGCCTACTATAGGTAGGATAATAAACTGGGCCAAACCTCCTTGGAAATCAGAAATTGGAAAGCAATGGGCATCAGTCAATAAAAGTACAGATGAGCTGACCACAAGACCCAACTGTTCCATTTCTAGCATATTCCCTGAGGACCCCTTGCACCTGTGCATCTGAAGACAAGATCAAGAATGTTCATAGCAGCATTTTGTTTTTTGCATATCAGAAAACCTGGAGATGACCAATGTATCCATCAAAAGGCTAGTGCATCAATAAAAACTGTGATAAAGTCATACAAATGGGACATTGTGTAGCACTGAAAAACAATAGACATTGGCTACACAAACAATGCTGAGCAAAAAANAAAAAAAAGAACAAAGAAGACATGGAAGAGCAAATCAAAGAGCAATTTAATTTTTCTATAAAGGGTTAAAGCAGGTAAACTATAAAGGTGAAACTATAAAGTAAAGCAAGAGAACTGACATGAATGAATACTAAATGGGATGGAGGTAACCCTGGAAAGGGGGCAGGTAGGAGATGCCTTTGGAGAGCTACACCCCAGGACCTGAAGACTGTTTTTTATTCTTCCATTCTTTAACTCATGCAGAACTATATTATTTTTCAAACTGCACACACACACAACATATACGCCCTTTTATTGTGAAGCTTGAGACTTTACAATAAGAGTACATAATATTTCTTACAGCAGACGTGGAGCCCGGGACAATCCTGGGCACGCTGCTCCGCCATTGCCCACAGGAAGCGTGAGAGGAGGTAGACGGCCAGACTAGGCTGGGAGGTGGCCAGCGCAGTACTGGCTAAAAACAGGGAGGGGAGGGAGGGCCAGGGAACTGGGAGGTTTAGAGACCAGAGGAGGAAGGGAGGAGGCAAGCATGATGGGAAAGGTGAAAAGAGAGAAGGAAGGGAAAAAAAGGGGGAGGAGGAAGGAGAGAAGGAAGAGGAGGAAGAAAAGGAGGGAGAATGGAAGGGAAGGAAAAGAAAGGAAAGATATAAAGACTTACTGAGAGCCTTCTTTGGGTCAGTGAGGTTCTGGTCCCATTCCCACAGCCACAGACCCTACTGGGCCCCCAGCTGCAGGGGACTTTGAACAAACCCCTCTACCTCCCTGTGCCACAGCTTCCTTGCCTGAGACAAAGTCTAGGAGTCCCAGACTGCCCCCGACACAGAGGCTCATGATGACCATGAGTGAGAAGTACCTGGGAGAGACAACACCCAAAGGGACCAGTCATACTCACTGAGAACCCTTAGACCACAACTGGTTCCCTCCCAGTGAGCCCTTGGAGGACAAAGTGTCCATGTGTCACCAAGTCTAGAGTGTTCACACATCACCCGCCTCCCAACCCCCCAACAGAGCAATGGGCCCCTGTGGGCATCTCTGTGGTTCCCCTCGCTTGCATTGTGGCATCTGCATGGTTTCGGATACTCGTTTGAGGACAGGGCCAGGGAGTACCCGCCATGCAGTCCTCGCAGACGCCACTCACAGCCTCGTCTCCATGGGATGATGAGCCATGTTAGGCCTCTCGTTTACTGGGGACACCGCGTGCTATATTCCCTATCTCGTTTAATTATTCAGTTCTGTACTCTCATTTCACAGATGAGGAAACTTAGGCTCGAAGACACTAGCCCAAGATGCGCAACGAAGCAGAGCTAGGATGAAACCTCGTGGTGCCCAGTTGCCGACCGAGAGCACACCGGACTCTGGAGGGAGCGCTGGTGTGGAAAGCCAGGTCCCTCCGATCTTGGTCCTCAGGCACTGGTGACATGCCAGCCTCAAGACAGCGCTGCCCACAGCCCCGGGCGGCTGGGCTCAACTGCAAGGGGCGGGGCCCCCACAGCGCAGGACTTGGGTCCCAGGCTGGTTCTTGCACCAACCAGCGGGGAGGCCTCGGGCCTCAGTTTCCCCATCCGCCCACGCAGGGAGGCCTTTGTGAGCGCCAGGAGTTTCTCACGGGCCCCGCCCCGGGGGTGGGGCCGGGAGTGGTCACGTGGAGGGGCGCCCAGTCCCCCGAGCCCCGCCCCGCCACGCCCGCCCCCGCGCTCGGGGTCCTCAGCCCAGTCTTCGTCCGGAGCCAGAAGCCCAGAGACAGCCGAGGGCGCCGTGGGGGCTCAGGACGCTCACGGCTCGGCCGGATCCCCGCCAGCCGGGCAGGAGGCGGACGCTCCGCGGTAGAGGCAGCAGCTAGGACTGGAGCGCGGGCGACAGCAGCGGCGGCGGCAGCGACACCATGGATCTCTCCTTTATGGCCGCGCAGGTAACGGGGGGCCCCCTCCACGCGCCCCAGGCCGCCAAGTTTGGGGAGGTTCGGGGCCACGGTGTCGTCCTCCACGCCGGGGCTGGACCGTGGCGCCCGCCCGCTATCCGCGTCCCGGTCCTTTGTCCCGAGCGCGGCACCCTCACCTGGTGAGCGCGTCGGGGGAGGCGATCGCGGCTTTCCAGGGTGGGGCGGGAGGGGCGCCCCGCACCCCCGCGGCTCGAGCTGTTCCCACCGGGGCCCCTCTGGCCGGCAGGGAGGCTGAGAGGAGCCTGGGCAGCCCGAGTCACCCCCTCCATGCCCATCCCCCACTGTTGTCCCCCTCTGGGGCCCGGAGCCCTCCGAGGCCGGGGCAGCTCAGACCCGTGCGAGCGCAGACTGGAGGACCGTCTCTCTCTTCCCCAGCGTTTTCCCGAGGCGCGGGTAATCGTCTCTTGCCGGTGACCTCGGGCGCCCCCTTTGACGCCGCCTGAAGAAGGCGCTGAGACCCGCTTTGTGACCGTGATCGGCCAAGCGTCGAGGCGCCGCGGCCGTTTGTCCTGTTTTGCTTTGTGTAGAGTCTGAGGAGCCACCAGTGGCCAGCGCGGCCAGAACCCTCCCCCGACACAAACAGGTTCCCAATGGCCGGAAAAACAAATGACCTCTCACAGCTTGAATTTTGCTCCAGCAGAATCCCCTGGAGTTCTGGGCCTGGGTGTCGATTCTGTTTCTGTGCCTTCACTCTCTTGAGCCAGAACAAAGACAAACCCCGGATTTCCCCATCAGTCTGTGGCCCTAGAGAAGACCCAGAGCTGGCTCCAGGGAGGGGCTGCGTTTGGCTTGGGAGACTAAGTCCCAATCTACCAAAGCCGCATCTTGCACCTTCTCTGGTTGTGTTGGTTGGTTATGGTGGGAGCAGAGAGGTCACGGGACCACTGAGGCTCCTTTCTGTCTCCAGGGTGTGTGGCAGGGACCCCATCTGCTGCTGTGTTCTTTTACAGGGAATGAAGTTTGAGGGGACACTTTCTTTTTCCCCAAGCTTCACCTGTGGTGGAAGCCTGATTAAAAAGTGACAGCAAAATCCAGACTGTGTGTGGCCTGCGAGTCTGCAAATGTAGGCATAAAAGATGCAGAAGCCCCAAGTTAGCTCTGGTGGTCTCGATCCTGGCTCCCCCACAGACTCTTAAGTTCTCCATGTTGCTAGTTGCCCTTCTGATCATCGCTGCCTCCCGTCTTTTTTTTTTTTTTTTTTTTTTTTTTGCCTGATTTTGCATCTACTGTGCCTAAATCCATGCTTATAAATATTGTCATGTAAACATCGTTTTAGATAATGATGGTTTTAGCTACACGAAAACTAAGGAGGCTTTCAAGGATTTATTTCTAGAGGGGAGAGGAGCTATGTCTGCCTTCCCTTCTGGATCCCACTGCACCTCCGGAATTTCCATGGTTACAAGATAAATTGATCCTCGGTAACCCTGGAGCTGACTGGAGCATCAGTGGCTGCCATGGTAACTAGACAAAATAAACATGAAGCTTTTTAACATCTACGGGCAGAACCTGCCCAGAGAACAGGTTCCTGTTATTCTTTTTTTGTTTACAATTCACATTCCGCTTGGTCAATGTATTCTCCTTGACACATATTTGATGTTGGTTACATGCACAGAACTGTGCTGGCTGTAAGGAACAGAAACATGAAATATCACACACATGAGAACAAATGCTAAGGTTTGTTGGGCACCTACTACATGCCAGACACTTGGCACTTTGCATATTTTATCACAGCAAATCCTTACAAGTCCTTGGCAGAGGCCGGGTTTTACAGGTCAGGACACTAAATGAGATTAAATAATTCGCCCAAGGATATGCCATTTGTAAGGAGGAGAACTGGTTTTCAAATCTGGGCCTGAGTATCTGAAAAGCTGCCGGGTTTTCCACTGTATTGCTTCATGCTGAGAAAGATATGATGTAAGATACAGGACAAATCTATTTCAGAAGAATTTATCTCTTCTCCTCCCTCCGGAAAGCAGTCTTACCACTATGCCTTTCTAGTAGATTGCTTTCTGCTGTTGATTCTTCCCATTTATCCCCGTAAGGATGGAAACTGTTACTTCCCTACCTGCAGCACTTGGTGGTGCTTGGCTGGAGCAAGTGCTCAGCCCCTGCTCCAGGTGTGTCCTGTGGCCACCAGGTGTGTGTGACAGTCACTGTCTCCCTGTGCAGTCTATCCCTAAGCAGTGGGCAGTTTGCAGAGAAATGTTCGTGCATCCATCCATTTACTTGCTCAGCAAATGTCTAGTACCTGCCTTGCGACAAGCTCCATGACGGGCACTGGGACAGGGATGCTGTGGGGCAAACTTGAATGGGACGTAGATTTTCTTTCTGTGTGTTTATAGAATCTTGGAGAAATGATGCGCCTGGCCAAGAGCCCAAAAAGGGGAATGGCTTAAGTGCTGAGTTGAAGAAGGTGCCCGGCAAATGGTAGCTTCTCAAGTATTTGTTAGAGGATTGGATGAGGACAAGATGTATGTTCACGAAAAGACATGAACAGGAAAAGACAGTGAGTTGGAAATGTCAAACGCCAGTGCCACTGAACAGCTGTCATCATCAGCACTTGGGGAATGGGGGCTGTAGATGGATTAGAGCTATAGGCAGATAACTCCTGGTGGGCCTGGGAGTTAAGACTGTTCTAGGTGGAGAGGTATCGAGGTAGGAAAGCCCAGGAACTATTCACAGAGTCCTTCAGAAAGCTGGGGGATAGGGATGCAGCAGGGCTGGGAGAGAGAGGCCAGGGCCACATTATAGAAGGTATTGATTGCTGGTGTGAGAAGTTTGCTGGGGTGAGAATCAGTAGGCATTGGGAGCCATTGCACGTTATTGAGCAAGGGAACGGGATATAGTTGAAGCAGTCCCTTGGGGAAACCCCAATCCATGCAGGGAATAGAAGCTGGAGGGTTGCCTGGGGCTGGGAGTGCACACTTTTGTGGTTAACCAAGTCAGTGAAACCAGATCCACATGACTCCAAGCCCACGATTTTTCTTCCCCATGTTGTTAAATGTGATTCCTGTTTTTGGCTTAAGGAGACCCAGAATGCATAAGCCATATTAGAAAGATTTTCCACTCAGAGGCTAAGCATTAAATAGATATCCTCCTTGGATGTACAGAATACACACCAGTTATCTGGCAAATCCTCTTAGGCAGAGGTGCCCTCCTTGGTGAGGTACACGTGACTGTCTGAGGGTGTAAGAGAGGCTGCAGGCACTGAGGGTGTGTTTGCGGGCCCCACCTTACCTCTAAGCCCTGGAGGCTCCCGGCTGCCCTCTCCCCAACCCTGGAAACACCCCAGGCCACTCCACACAGTCCCTGAGTCCCAGGAGACTCTGGAGGATGTGAGCAGTGAATAAGGGCATTCATCTCTCTATGGCCAGGGGTGGTCAAGAGGACAGGACCACCTAGACGCCCAGTGGGCTGGGGACAAGGTGAGAATCACAGCCTTTCAGGACTGAGTCCAAAATCCCTGTGTCGTTGGTGGGGTCACCCAGGTTTAAAGACAGTGTTCATGCATTCCTTCACTCCCTCTTGGACACACTTGCTGCCCACCGCTTCAAGTGTGGGAATCTCGTTCTTCTCCCCTTAAATCTGGGACTGGTCTTGGTGAAGAGAAAGTCTAGTGGCTTTCTTGGTAAAGAGAATGCATTATTGGTGACATTCTGTGGCTAGGTCCTAAAAAGCCTTAGCCCCCACTTGGGCCTGTTGGGATGCTCACTTGTTCCAGGGGAAGCCCACATCATCCAAGAAATACAGTGGCACTCAGGCCATCATGCTGTGGGAAGGGAGTGAACATTTCAGGAAACTTCTGTGTGCTGGGCTGACACTCATTACAGGGAAATGGGATGGACGACAGAGACAGGAGGGCTCCTTCACTTGTTCTTACTGTAAACTCTCCTGTGAAAGCATGCCTCGGGCGTAAGAGCTCAACCTTATTTTTGTCTTGCACTGTCCCATCCCAATAGTGAGTGGTTTCAACCCAGTGGGTCTCAAATGTTGTTGCCATCAGAATCACCTGGGAGCTTTCAAGGGTCCTGCTGCCCAGGTTGTATGTCCAATACTCCCATAGGTTCTAGGGGCGGGGGCCAGGCACCAGCCCTGTCCTAGCATTTCTCAGCTGATCCCAGTGTTCCATTAAGGGTGAAACTCTGAGTGTAAGCCCACCCTATAGGATACATTCACCCTCCCACTGCCCCCTCCCTAGATGAAACAGATCCCTGGCTCTCTGGTCACCCTCAGGTCATTAAAAACTCATGTGGTCCCTGGAAGTCATCTAACACAGTATGGATTCAGCAACTTAAAATGTTTGGACCCAGAATGACATGGCCTTGGAATTTGCTTCAACGCTAAGCTTCTCCCTCTCTCAAGACCACACCTGCCAGAGGTGGGAAGCCTGCAGTTGAGGGGGGTGACTTTATTATGCACATCATCGAGAAAGGGAGATTTGGATGGATAGCCAGCGAGGCTCAGCTGGCAAACTGAGGACCAGGAGTGGAGCCACATCCGCCGATGCACAGCCAGCCTTCCATGTCATCGCAGCACCTCGAACAGCCCTGCAAGAGCTGGAGGGACCAGGGACCCCCCATGGATCAGCCTCAGGGAATCACCCATCCTCTGATCCACCAGGCAGTTGTGTTTGTATACATTTTTATTTTATTATCATTACTCTTTTTTTTTATTTTGAGGCAGCGCCTTGCTCTGTTGCCCAGGATGGAGTGCAGTGGTGCGATCATGGTTCACTGCAGCCTTGACCTCCCAGGCTCAAGCAATCTGCCCGCCTCAACTGCCTGAGTCTCTGGGGCTACAGATGCATGCCACCACGGCTGGCTACTTTTTTAAAAATTATTTTTAGTAGAAATGAGGTCTCACTGTGTTGCCCAGGCTGGTCGAGAGCTCCCGGGCTCAAGCGATCCTCCTGCCTTGGCCTCCCAAAGTGCTGGGATGACAGGTGTGAGCCATTGTGCCCAAACATGTAC